CGGTCGTTCGCACGCCTCTTATTACGGTAGCGTTGAATATTTACGGCCTCAACTATGACGTCACCCCCCACTAACCCCCAGTGGTGATTGTGCATCTCCTGTACGTAGCGCGCTTACTCTAAAATCTTTTTCCCCAACTTTAGCAAGTATCCTATCTGCACACCTCCCTTCTTTACCAAAAGTATGTAGTTTTTCTCCCTCGGTATCGTATACCTATCATCGACGAAGACGTCATGGGTAAGACGACACCTGGGTAAACATTGGCAGCATTTAAACTTCTTCTAACTGACGCTCCACAGTGTACCCGAGGAAGGCCTATTAAGAAGGCCGAAAACATTTGTACTCCAGTTAATAAGGCTAGAAATTAGTGAGAAAGGTTTTGTGCTGTTAGTCTTGCAATAAACACATCAAGTATGTTAAAAACATTAAATCAGCAATTATTAGATAATCTTACTCATTAATATAATATTATTTAATATCAATTAATAAATTTTAATAATCTAAAAAGGATTTTGTCTGTGGAATGTTTAAAAATCAGTTAAATAAAAATCTTATACATCTGTTGAAATCATTTAAATTAAACAATATAGAATTTTTAAAATATTTCAAATTATTAAATTAACTACATATCATTTGACACAACCAATTGGAAGAATTTGAGATCAATTAAAATTCATTTAAAATTATATAAGATAATTCAAGATAACTTTATATTTTTAATTATACAGTCATATCCTGGTATCCAAACTCTCTGTATAGGAATTTCCACTACAGTGAAATGACATTCTTTAGTAACTATCACAATATCAAAATCGAATAATCCCAGTATTATAAATCTCTTCAAAACACATTTGTGAAAATTCAAAACTCATGCCAGCAAAAGTGAAAAGTAGAAAGTAACTTTGTTTCTAGCAACTGGTTTCATTTGTTTTAGTGGTGTTAATTTTCAAATCCCTTCTGTCACCTACTGTTACATGTTTAGCTCCTTCCACCTAGAAAGTGTGACATAATAGATGTTAGTAAGATTTGCTCACAGAGTAAAGTAAGTATGCTAATCATACACACTTTTCTAGCACTAGTTTAACCCTTAACTGGTTTCGTAAATTTTACAATCATAACTGGTATCATGGGGGCTGCGCAGCCCCCAAGCAAAATTTGCCTTTAGAGAGCAAGTTTAACAATGTGACAGTTCAAAAGTGCATAAATGCTAAATGGAATCCTTCTTTAGTATAATCAACTTTTATTTATTTATATAATTTTCTTTACTTAATTATTACAAGAGATCACAAAATTGTTACAACTTTTGGTGTATGCTTTTTTTAACAATACAAAAATCTACCCTATTGTAAGTTTTTACCAAAGATATTTTGTTTTCTTATTCTTAAGAAACTAATCTTATAAAAAAGTATCTCTTATAGCCTCTAACTATCATTTGTTAAAAAACCACAGATAATATAATCACTTCTATTTTTAACACTCAGGATCATTTTAACGCAATTACGTAGTTCAGTCTTGACAGTTATCACATAGTATTTTTGTAGTACTATGCACTTTGCAAATAAATTTCAAACAACTGTTGCACTTAGTAGCATATTTACCATCTTTTTTTCCAGCACAAAATGACAACATACTCTTTTCAGGAGATTTCGGC